TAGAACGCTTAGTTGATCCAAGTAAATATATTAACCAGTACCCAAAAATATCAAGACATTTGCCCCAGAAGCTCAGGACTTGAAAATAAGAAAACAAAACTGAAAATGGAGATTTTCTGATTATTATTTGAGTTGTTAAAATAATAATAAAAAACACATTTACAGTATTTATGTACTCATGATTAAGTGCTTACATTTCAATGTAAAACTTAGCAACCACATATTTTCCTTTGAACTATCAAACATGTAAATTTTATTTTTTTAACAATTCTTGTTATAAATTTGCAGTCAGCATGATTATTTTTTCAATTGTTCGATATGTAAAGTAATAATATAGAAATTAAGCTCAAATTTATTTGTTTTTCAACCAAAAAGCTTTAATAATTGTTCTGTGCTCACATGGCATTTCAAGTATAACTCTTTGCTATAAAGCTTTTCAAGCAAACTAGCATGTATGCCAGAATTCAACACTATTAGCATGCTGTTTTGCATTTCCTGGGTAGAAGAATAAAATGTAATCCCCAATGCCACCAACCTTTCAAAAGGGTCAGACATTTTCACCCCCTACCACTGTGTCACTGAACGCAACTTTTGTGGACCAAGAACATGTGTTTTTAAGTCAGAACTCTTATGTAATACACTTTAGTGCATTTACACCAACTTTTATAGCTTGGTGGCCCAGTGTGGGGGGGGGAGGGAAACTGGCCCGTGCAAGCAGTGGGCTGAGGTGTGGGTGTGCGCACATAGCCTGCTGCTTCCATGGCCCACTTCTGAACCAGTCACGGCCTGGTAGTGAGCCACAGTCCAAGGGTTGGGAATCCCTGCTGTAAAATACTGGGCTTTATATCTGAATACCAGTTACTTGCAAATTGGAAAGAGAAAGTTACAGTACAGTACAGTACAGTACAGTACAGTACAGTACAGATCATGTATGGATCATCATCTTTTAATATAAAGGATGTTTGTGGCAACTGGAAAGAACGAGAAATATACAAGTGGGGAGGGAAAGAATGAGAGTGACTTATATACTGGCAGAATTCTGTCAGAACAATTCTTAAAGCAATTCCAAAGAGAGTTGTGATACAAGTTCGCCATCAAGTGGCCACTTGCTAACCTGCAAAGGAAATAATGGTACACACAAACCTTTTGCTACAATCTACTGTACTTGCACCCCCCAGGAATCAGTATTTATCCAGATATCACCTGTTCAATTATCAGGAGGTGGCAGGTTTAATAGGAGCCACCTGTTTTCAAATAGAAACACTTATTGAGGTACTAAAAACATGCAGGAGGACAATGATATCTCTTTCTGAGCCAGGTGTCATCCACTAAGAAATCAAATGAGCATTAGCACTCCAGCATGTAGTGTCTTTTGGGGGCAGATGAAAATTGTTAGATTAATATTTGACATGGATTTGAATTTAACAAATTCAGAACCAAACCGAAATGCAAACTTGCTGTGGCATTAAGAATGAAACGCAATTTAAAGCTCTCATAGTACAAGGGCTACTTGATACATTGCTTTTTTGAAATGGCAATTATTTTTTAATTTATGAGTGCAAGGAATGTGGTTCTTCTGGGGCACTTCCCCACTGATCTTTGCATCACTCTAGTCCTCACAGATCTCTGAACATCCTTTAGTTTTTAGAGCCAGATCACTTTATTTTGGCTGTGACTTGGTTTATCTGAAACCACAGCTAACGTTGTTTTCTGTATCCTGGCTGCTTTGCATAGAGGGTTGTAGAAAAAATGCCTGTCTGCAAAATTGCCATTTATTTCACCTTTATAAGTCACAGGCTTTAAAAGGCAATATTGGGATGCAGCATTCTTCTGTTCCAACAGAAAACTTTGAAGGATTTCTATTTTCTTTTTCTTTTTCTTTTTCTTTTTTATACTTTACTTTTCCTTATATAGCTTCCCATCAAAGGATTTCCCCCCCCCCTCTTTTCCTACCTTCCTTCCTGACAAATGCAACAGTTACATGTACTGAATCCCCAGATAAATGCAACAGTTGCATGTACTGAAAAAACGTGAGTAGAGGGTGAGAAAAATGTTGTTACTCCTCAGCTGAAACAAACTTCAGGAAAATACAGTGATTGGATTGTTGCCCCTCTAATAGGCAATTGACTAGCTTGTGTCCTCTGAATCCTTTTGGGGTCAAAAGAAAATGATGTAGATGTCAAACTTGTGTCGTGACGGCAGCGTCACATGATGTATCGTGACTTTTTCCGCCTTCGCTAAACTGGGCGTGGCCAGTGTGTGACGCATCCGACCTGCAGGCCACGAGTTTGACAGCCCTGATATAGATGGTAACATTGATTTCCAGGGTCTCAAATGGAAATCTTACACCTTCCTTCTGTCTGTGAGTTCTTGGCTGAAACTGCTGGAGGGTGGCATCAGAATAATGTCGTAAGGCCCGGAAAATCTGGGGGCTTGAATGTTTGCTCAGAGTCACCCAGACAAGGGTGACCAAGGCTAGTAGTTGACAACAGGACCATGAGCAGCAGCAACAATATAGTAGCAGCAGCATCAAAGAGGTTCAGACTCAGTTTTGGGCTGATATAAACTTACTGAGAAATGGGGCTGATGTTGGTCACACTACAGAGGTGGGATTCACTTACCTTCCCTACCATTTTGCAAAAACGAGTGCACATGCCAACTCTGCACATGCGCATGGCCTTCTGTGCATGCGTAGTAGCTGCGCATTACATCCAGGCGGATGGGCGGAGCCTCCTGCAGTTGCCACTACCAATTAACACAATCCAGAGAGAACTGACTGAATCCCACCACTGGACACAGTGCCTTTTTTACTATTATTTTAAGTTATATCAAAGATGCCCATCTGTGTGTGTGTGTGTGTTCACTGTACAACAAGCTTGTGCTTGTTCTCTAGCAATGGTTTCCCAACAAAGTAACAGCCCTCAAGGCTATGAAGTCCAGGCCGTAGAATTACTTTTGACTTCTCAGGCCTACCAGAAAGGTGGAGACAATAAATGCCCTGCCTCACTTGTAATACTCCATTGTTATTCCACCTAACAATTGTTTTTTTAAAAAAAAAGTTTGATAATGTGTAGCTTTCCATTTTTTATTTAATGCATGGAATTCCAGTGAAGCCTTTGTAATAATATAGAGCATTCTGCTTTATTATCCTGGGGTATGTTTTTCCAAGGGGAAAGTGGTGCAGCATAACACATGGCTTGTAAAAAAAAATCAGAAGGACTCTGCCAGTGTCTTTTCTAATACATTTTATTAAAAAGTCAAAACTTGTGTTTAGGCAGTTTAGTTGCTGTTGACTATGCTGCACAGATGAAAGAAACATACGAAAACATAGAACTGTTGTTGAAGCACTTCCAGAACACCAAGGACAACTGGAATATCTGTGGAGATCTAAAGGTAGCAGTTCTGCTGCTTGGAAAGCAGTTTGGATATATCAAGTACTGTTGTTACATATGCAAATGGAACAGCCATGCAAGAGAGAAATTGTAAAAGAAATTATCATTTTGAAAGAATTTGGTTCCAGGACAGAAAAACATGGATCATGAACCACTTGTTGATTCAATAAAGATATTTTTGCCTCCACTTTGCATCAAACTGGGACTGATGAAAATTTTTGTGTGAGCGATGAAAAAGGAAGGTGAAGGTTTTTGATACCTGAGGCAGATATTTCCAACAATAACAGATTTTAAAAGGCATTTTTGTTGGTCTACAGATCAGATAAAGCAGGGTTATCAAACTCTGGGTTGGCAGACCGGATGCATCACGCGCTGGCCATGCCCACGCCTGTTTTAGCAAAGGGGGGGGAAGTCCTGATATGTCACGTGACAACGCTGTGACAACCTGAGTGTGACACCCCTGAGATACAGCATCAATGAACAGTGGTTTAAAGATCTGTTTCTGGACTGAGAGAAAATTGCTTGGAAAGCATTCAAGGATATCATTGAGAATTTTCTTGGCAATTACAGACCACCAAATTACATTCCGCTGGTTTATAAACTTCTTATAGCATACCGGACTGTGACATCAACATGTCACTGAAGATTTGTTTTCTGTATTCACACTTGGACTTCTTTTCTGAAAATCTAGGTGCAGTCAGTCACAAACATGGTGAAGGAAATTGCCACAATGGAAAAACAGTATTAGGTCAACTGGAATCCATCAATGCACACTGCAGTGAGATGCAGCGGACAGAGTACAAACAAAAATCAGCAACAAAACACTTTTAGCCCTTTTGAACTCATGTGGCATGTCAGAAACATTATATGATTAAATACATTATAGTCATTAAAAGTTAATTTCATATTTCTCAAGATTCCCACGTGATATAGTCATTCTAAAATTATATTTGTGTTCAGTTTGAAGGATCATAATCAGAAGTTTTTCTGGAAGCAAAACTTAAAAAAAAAACTTGTCCAGTATTCACACAAAACTATTCATACAAAAAGTGGTGTAAGGAGTTGGAGTTCCAGGCAGTTTCTTCTGAGAGTTTTATAATGCCAAGGTGAGAATTACGATTGAATCTTATCAGAGACAGAACCTGGCATAAGCCCATTATCAGAATTGTTTGAAGATTCCAGTCTAGATTATTTGATTTGCCCATTAATATTATCTGGCCAAACGCCAAACACCAAACACTATAAAATATTTTGGCTTGGCAGGGGGAAAAAGTGTGCTCTTTTTCTGTTCATTTGCTTTAAAATAAAAGTGATGAAAATATTCGTTGCATAATGCAACATTGCCTGCAATCACCATGGTAAACAAAAACAAAAACGAGCATACGTTTGCTTTGATTACCATATAGCAATATGTTGATTTTAAACATAGGGGGAAAGAAAGTACACCTGTGGAAAAAAACCCATCCCTACCCCCACCAAAATTGCAAAAATGCAGAGAATGAATGAAAAGAGAAGCTGGAAACACCACATAGAGGACAATGTAGGAGGAATGCTGGAAACTGAGAGCAAATGAGGAAAACCAAATGCAAGCTAAGAAGGAAGAGAAAATGAATGTGAATATTTATTTATTTCGCAAATTTTATTAGCTATGTCAATTCTGAAAGCAATTCACAGGAGCATTTGTAACATGGTTTGCCAATAGATTATCATTGCAGGCTTCTGGTTTAGCTGGTTAAATGTGTTTACTCAGAAATAAGCCTTCTGATGTTTAAAGGGGTTTCACTTGGGGTACGCACATTTACAAGTTTATTTTTAATGAATCAAAAGCAATCTCAGTGCAGTTTATGCCAGTTTATAGGATGTTTATTTGTAGATGGTGGTGACTTGACAAAATAAACCTCTGGACTTAATGCCTGAGAGTGATCTGCCATTTTTCTTGCAGCCTTTAAAGGAAATGCACCTTTTAAACTAGGGCCCGGCAACTTTTCCATAGCCAGAAACTGCATATCTCATAGGAGGTATGGCTGATGAGCCAGCAGGATTACTGGAGTGGGCAGATTGACTTTCTAATTGTTTCTTTAATAAAAATAAGTACCCGTATTTTTCATATAAGATGCACCTTTTTTCCCCTAAAAGGGGGTGAAAATTTGGGTGCATCTTATACACTGAATGTAGCCCCGCCCACCCACTGGCCCCCACCCTTTGGCCTCTGCCTCCCAGCAATTTACCTCCTTGCAGCAAGCAGCAAGAAACAGACCATTTCAGCTTCAGCACAGCCTAATTAGCACAAGTTGATTGTCCCTTGGATCAGCCTCCCAACTCTCAGCTGTTTCAGGCTGCAGAGATTGCCATGTCTATTGCTGCGCGGGCCTCTGCTGCTTGCTGCAAGGAGGTAAATTGCTGGGAGCAGATTTTTTTGTGTGTGTGTGCTAATCAAGCTATGCTGAAAACGAAAATGAAAGTAAAGCAGTCTATTTACTGTTTGCTGCAGCGAGGCAAAATTGCTGGGAGACAGAGGCAGATTTCTTTTTCTTGTTTTCCTCACCAAAAAAGGTAGGTGCGTCTTATAGTCCGGAGCATCTTATACTCCAAAAAATCCAGTATATATCTTCAGAAAATTGCACCATTGTTAGAGTTACAACAGGAAAGTGTCACAATGTATGCGCCATCCCTTGATGTCTTCAGGTCAGGACTGGCATCCAATATGTGTAGATGGATTCAAGACAGTCATCTCACACTCATGGTTTAATTTTGACACCCGCATGATGCAGCAGCCTTGACCTCAGTGGTGTAGGGATCTCCTATGACGACAGTGATTCTATGGCCACTCAAGAAATAAGGTATGTTAGACTAGTTTTGTATCCTTCCTCTTTTTCCTCTCTCTCTTTTCTTTTTACAAATACTAAACTAGTGGATTAGAGAAATGCGATGGCCACGGATGTAATATTTTAAATACAGCAAAGCTTTCAGCAAGATCACCCAGATATTTTTCTTGGCAAGCTTAAAATTCAGGTCAAGCAAAGTTGCTCCGTGAATGATAATCTTTAATAATGTGTTCTAAAACATGCTAATGGCCTTGTAATGAACTCTCTGTACATCATAAGTACATAGAGCACATCTGTTTGTGCATGAAAAGTAATTAACAAAAGGAGGAGGTACAAACATATATAATATATATACTGCATATATATATTTATTACATGTGTGTACCTATATTCAAGGTAATATAAGAACTATATAAATAAATATTACATAAGGCAGACAAAAGCGTATAAGCAACCCCCCTGGACTGCTTTCCCACAAAATACAGAATACCATATACTTGTGTTTTCCCAATGATTTCAGTGGGGAAATGTAAACACCTGTCTGACTCTCCTATAAAAGTCAAGCAACGTAAGAGATTTTGGTGTCACTGACTTGAGCCAAGGATTTTTCCTTCTGTTTCTCTCTAAAATAAATCACTTTTAAGGTTCTTATTATTTGCTGTTTCTCTTAGAGTATCTGGTACACATTTTAACAGATATTGGCAAAGGTTATATATAATAAGGCTTATTTTCAAGAATCACATACTGCAGGGTCAATTGCTTCCATTGCAACCATTTCAGAAGCTCTTGCCACCTAGGCTTACCTACCTCACTTTGCAAGCTTCCCAGTCTACTCAGATGTGTCATCTCCCTTCACCTCAGACCAGGGGTCCCCAAACTTGGCAACTTTAAAACTTGTGAACTTCAACTCCCAGAATTCCCCAGCCAACAGTAGCATAGCTGGCTGGAGAATTCTGGGAGTTGAAGTCCACAAGTCTTAAAGCTGCCAAGTTTGAAGACCTCTGCCCCAGACAGTATAGGCTAAGAAATCAGACTTAAACCGAAAGCTATCCCCCTCTTATGGTGGCCTCACCAGACCCCTTTGGATAAATAGAAGGTCATGAAATTGTATTTTAAACATCATGATGATCATCCTAATTTCAGTGCTTTAGAGAGCAAAATAAATAAGTAAGTATAGTTAGAGACTACTAATGGTCAGCAAGCTCTCTGCTTCTGTGTTCAACAGCTCCTATGACTGGGATAAATCTCTCTGCTGAGGGAAAGTGAGCTCAGACAAATAGTTAAGAGAAAAAAATATTGATAGATCTTAGAGACATTATCATTTTCATAAGGTAACCAGCCCATATGTGATCATTCAAATGTCTCCTGCTTGAGCAGAGGGCTGGCCTAGAAGATCTCCAAAGTCCCTTCCAGCTCTATTCTGATTGATGGGAAGAACGGTCCTTCCATGGCAGCTTTGCTGCCTCCCCATCCATCATGGTGAGAAATTTGAAACAGGGTCTAAGCTCCCCATAGATAGATAACAATTTGGAACTCATGTGAAGAGGGAGACAAAATTACACAGGGAACCAATAAACACAGAGGAAGAATCCCACTTCAAGCCTCCCATCCCCACATGTGGATCAAGGGTGAAGGCCCAGTTAATAAAGATTTGATGGAGGGTAGTTATAATTGTGTGGGGGGAGGGAAGCAAAAGAGGTTCATTACTGAATTCAGAGGTATAAAGTGCTACGTGTGCTGAGCCAGAAGACCTATAGAAGAAAACGAAAACAATCTTCCTTCATCCATGGCAATGTGAGCAGTGTCCCTGATTTTGCAAAACTGAGGCACTGCTATACCAACACCTCAGTCAACTCAACATTGCTTCTCCTTCTTCATTGTGAGGCTACTGCTTGATACCTTTCCCTCCGGAATACTCTTGGTATGGACTGGGCCGTGCTTTAGGGCGGGGAATGGAGAATTCCTGTTGAGGCTCAAGGTTCTGAAAAAGGAAGAGAATTGTAACTTTGAGATTAACATCTATCCCCAAAAGCAGACTCTTATTAGTTCATTCTTATGCTCCTAGAGAGTAACCTGAGTAACCTATAAAGAGTGGATCTTTCTCCTTCAAAGACAGAGTGGCAGTATTTACTATCTCATTAAATATCAAGAAGGAAAGCCAGAGCTTAGATATTTAATCATGAATTGGTCAAATGTAGAAAGCTTTGTACTAGATTACTAGTTTATACAGCATATCTCTAAACTAAAGAGAAACTAAATTCATAGCAGGCCCAAGAACACCCTTAATGACTGTGCCGTTATGCTAAGAAATGCCACGTCTATGGAGATTCTCAGTCATCCAGGTCATGGTTGTCTCAAAAGTGCTTTTTCAAGAGGCAACTGCACGTTTTGGGTTTTCTTTGAAGATGTTTCGCTTCTGGTCCAAGAAGCTTCTTCAGCTGAAGAAGCTTCTTGGATGAAAAGAAAAAACAGGAAGTCCAGTTGCCTCTTGAAAAAGCACCTTTGGGATAAAAAATGGCACTTATCATTTGCACAGTTAACCTTTTTCCATCAACCCCACTCCAATAGAGAATAGGAAAGGTCTCAGTGGCTTTTTTCTAACTTGGTTCTGGTTGCCTTCAGTAGCCTCCATAGCACCAACACAATGCTTGCTCTGCAATCACTAATTAGTTGGTACTTTGGAGACAACAACAAAAATGCTGAGCTTGGTAAATTATTACAGAAAGCTCTTCAAAGTAAGTATAAGTAGAATTGGCATATCTAGACATCTAAACATCTGGATGACAAAAAAATACAGTAACACTAAGCTACATCTGATAGTTACCTACATTTTTGTAGCCTAGATCTACCTGATAACACTGGATATAAAGAAAGATAACTAGGAAATGTATCATTTCTCTCTGAAATCACACTTTACCTCTGAAAGTATTCTGAGGGCAATATTTGCTGTTATAAGCCTAATCAAATCACTTGTACTAGGTCCCAGAATCAATTTTTATCAAGCATTTTGCAAGCACTTTAAAGCTTTTTACAAACATTTTACTTTTTTTCTGGTCAGGAAACTGTTCGTCTACACAAAAATATTACCATAACTAGTTATCACATCAAAAGCAACTTATTAACTAACTAATAAGTCTATATGAATATCACCCTTTTCCCCAGATGTCTAATTTTCTAAATATGTTAAACTTTCCTCCTACAGCACTTGATTATTACCCTAATGAAAGAAAAGTTGTTTCATTTACCTTCAGTTGAAAGTGAGTTGAATAAGGGACATATGAGTCAGTATTTTCTTCTTGAACGATGAAAGAGATGCAAAGAGGGCAAAAGGAAATGAGACTTAGAATTAATATATAGTAAATAAATAGATTTAGTTTGGTTCAAAATAACAATGTCTAGCATGAATACTTATGCCAGCTTTTCCCAATCTGCCATGCTCCACATGTCCACTGAAGTAAATAAACAAAAAATAATAATTTATTGGGACTATAGTTTCAGAATTCCCAGGAGGCTTCAAAATGACAGACACAACCGAGCAATCAAAGCCCCGCCCCTTTTTGACATCTATTGCACACATTGCAGTGATATAAAAAGAGCTACATTGGTCATTTTGAAGCCAGTAACCATTGCTGTGGATGATCAATTCCCAGTACATTTCAAACGTGCCATCTCAACACCTCTGGGGTGTCACTAGGTTGGCTCCACCTTTGGTGGCACAGCAGACTAAAGCACTGTTAAGATAACACCAGCTGTCTGCAATTATTGCAAGTTCAAATCTCACCAGGCTCAAGGCTGACTCAGTTTTCCATCCTTCCAAGGTAGGTAAAATGAGGACCCGGATTGTGGGGGCAATAAGCTGACTTTGTATAAAAAAGAACACCGCTTGGGGGGGCCAAAAGCCCTACTAAACAGGTATATACAAAAGTATGAAGGCTATTGCTTAACGCATTGTAAGCCGCCCTGAGTCTCCGGAGAAGGGCGGCATAGAAATTGAACCAATAAATAAATAAATAAAATGTCATTTTATATTATTTTTGGAGTCTCTTCTATTTCTATTTTTGGAATCTATTCTTAAAAAGTTATAAAGAATGTATGACCATTTGGCAAAATGAGTCATATGTCATCTCCTAAGTCCTGGGATTCCCCCTCCCCGCCCCACAATGCCATAACATCAACCTTACCAATTCCCAGGACTTGCTAACTAATGTGCAAAATGTCCATTTCACCCTCTTTCTTGCTGCAAATCAAATGGGCTGAGATGACGAAAAGGTTGGGAGGCATATCTCAGGTTGGAATAGCAATAGCAATAGCACTTAGGTTTATATACAGCTTCATAGAGCTTTACAGCCCTCTCTAAAGCGTTTACAGAGTCAGCAATCTGGGTCCTCATTTTACCGACCTTGGAAGAATGGAAGGCTGAGTCAACCTTGAGCTGGTCAGGAACAAACTCCTGGCCATGAGCTGAATTAGCCTGCAATATCACATTCCATCCATGGCGCCACCACAGCTAACCACAGGAATGTTGATTGTCAACTATGAAGATTTTATAGCAAAAAAATTTAAATAGTGATAGGTGGATGGAAGTATTCTAGGAGTAGACAAGCCCATGGGACGTTTGGAGGCAGGACTTGCGTATACAATAAATCTAAAATCTTCCTCATTTAGTCCAACTCTTGTTGCACGTATGCAATTCATAAGATATTCCTGTATGTATTGAACTAAGGGGAATGAGGAATTCTTGCAAAGGATTCTTGCAAAAAGTCCTTGTTATTGATGCTTCTGAACAATTTTAGATATCCTAACTCCTCTTTAAACAAAGGAAATATTTAGACACTCACAATGTATATCTGTCACAAATTTATCTTTTCATACCAACAAAAGGTTCAACTAAATCCTTTCAAGCAGTTCAACAAATAATGTTTTAATTAAATTAATTCTGGTTACAGATTACTTAATCAGAGAATTTTTTAAATAAAGCTGCATATTTCAATTAGTGAATTGTTCCATTAAAACCTTGGCTGATTAATCAGCAGATAGGTTTTAATTGATGAAACCTCGCATAAAATTTTAATGTGCTTTTCACTGTATAGTAAAATAGCAAAAATGATATTGTCTTATGTTATAGAATGGTGATTTTCTAATACATAAAGAGTTATTAAGCAATTTATTTGATGAATCGAGGTACATAAAATCCTTAATTTATCATTGTTCTCTTCATCTTCTTCTTTGTCATCATCAGCATCACAAATAAATCAACTGTAGAATAAAGGCCTTGTTGTGTATATCTAAAGATTATTAATACATCCAGTAATTGAACTAATGCTTAATGATCAATTTACTGTATATGTTATTCATCAATAATGTTAGCTTTAGGAATCGTATTATGAATCTTTTGCTTGAACCATTTTCTTTCAGCTGGCATTTTCTTTTCATTGGAATATAGTAGCTGTTGTCTTACCTTGTGTGTTGTCTTCCTGAGCATAACCTTGATTTTCTATTCCATAAGTTTTTTTCATGCCCTTTGGCTGGCAAGTATTATTCTCCAGAGGGTAGTCTCCAGGCTTCCGTGGAGAAGTGAGGACACAGAGTTCAGGTATTGCATACAGAATCAGGAAAAGCCAGCCGTTTACTATCAGAACAGTACCAAGGAGAGGATCATTCCATTTTGATCGCTCACCTAAAGCATGGATACCGTGCATCAGGATAGCAATCCATGCCACCCAAATGCCTATGGAGAACAAAGCTGTGAGGAGTAAGTGGACACCATGCCTCTTCCACCTCTTGTATGAGCCACAAAGCACAAACATGGAAACTATGAAGAGGAGAAACATCAGGAAAAATACATAGATGAGAATTAAAATAAAGTCTCTTCGTCTTTCCTCATCCATCACATGGCGTAGAGCCTTCAAGGCTGTGATATTGACTGCTACATATTGTATGGCTATAATCACTTGTACAACAGTAAAACCAAGGACCATAATCAGCAACACTAGGGCTGAAAATGGACGTCTTCCTCTCACCAATTTGGTGAGGTCCAAGGCATGAGCCAGAAGGCAGGAAAAGCAGAGGGCAAAGAGGACCCCAAAAAGGAAGAAACGTGTGGGACCAGTTTGCTCATTGAGCCTGATGATAAAAGCAAATGTGAGCCCAAAAATTCCTAGAGTGCCTAAGAGGAAGAGGAACTGGATTGGGATCAGGCTACGTTTTGCATTGTCTTGGGCTTTAGAGATAAGGCAAAAAAGCACCAGAATGAGGATGATTGTGACAAACACACCAGCTGCTGCCAGAGCTTCCAGAATAATCCCCCAATAAACATTGATGTCACAGAGAAAATAGTAGTCATTGGATATGTTGCCACAGCCTAAGGGGGGATGAGTAGTAGGCATGGCACTTCAGGTGTCTTATCTTAAAAGAAAACCTGTAGGAAATAAGATAAATTTGGGGTTATAAATATATTTTAAAAAACAGAATAAGTTAATAATCAGACACTTTACTGTCAAATGAATCAAGTAATTTATATAGATAACAGTCTTATTTACTTCACACGAAAATATAAAATGACCTTATCCCAAGTTAGACCACTGATTTGCTTAGCCCAATATCACCTGTTCTGATTGGGAACAATGCTGGGACGTAAAATCTGGATCCAATAATGGGATGGAGATAGGTCAATTAAACAGAGATTAAGGAATCTTCCCATAGGAAAGGCCCTTAGTATAATAAAAAGGCACATCTTTTTATGAACTCCATATTTTTCTACATAAGATAAGAAATAGCAGGAAAAACACTACAAGGGTCTCTATAATTTAAGAACAACACCAGGACTTTGCTATAAACAATAATCTCTATTTTTCTGAAGGAGCAGCAGCAGCAGCCCCTATAAACAAAGAGGGCAGTGGCAGGGCAGAGACATCCAGGGCAGATAAATAACAAAAATGGCAGGCGTGTCTAAGTAATCAAAGCCCCACCCTTTTTTACATGCATGAGATGCATGCAAAACACGTATAAAAAGGAACAGGGTTTTGAACACCTGGTTACACCTGCCACTTTAGCCTAATGGATCCCATAAACACAGATGCTCCTGTGGGGGAGGGCAAAAATATCAAAATGGCAGGTACAACTGTGGGTGACCTTTGGACAAAACGGGTGGGGCTTCAATCACATGGTCATGGCTGACATCTTGCTTTTTTTTAACCCATCCTGAATTTCAGCAGCAATCTGCTGTAAAATGGAAATGTGATATCCACTGATTTCTGTAGCACAAGTCTAACAGATCTAGGTAAGCTATTACCGATTGTTTTATTATTATAAAAAGAATATAAATTATAACTCAATCCCCTCACACACAAATCATCTCCAAAATCACAGCCCAACTTTGTTAAATTAATATATCGTCAATCCACAAATTATGGTTCTTTTTTATCTCCATTTTATTAAAAAGGAGTGTGGTTTGATCCCTGCCGTACATTGATAGAAAGCAAACTGGTTAACAGAAGCAAATCAATGTCTATACTTTAAATTTGCTACCTCCCACACTCTCAAGATCTGAGCTATAAAATCCTGATGGCACTACATGGCAACAAAGAATATTTATTTACTTATTTATTAAGATTGTATGTCACTTCTTTCAATGACTGAAAGTGGTCTACAGTTATACATTTAAAAAACCCAATAAAAATGTAAAATGCTTGAAATGTTAAATCTTGGACAGAGTCAGGGTGAACCTTCCTGCAGTCTTTCGTAAAATCCATTCTTTATAACTCCTGTGTAAGAGGAAGGTCTTCTCCCGCTTTCTAAAAGATGAAAGAAAGGGAAGAGGCAGCCCAATCTCCAAGGGAAAGCTGTTGACAGAGAGTAGACTGCCGTTAAGCATGCCACTTTCTGGGTTCTCACCCCTTAACTTTCTAGGGGCCAAGAACTGCTACATTTTTTCCTTGCCAAATTGTCTAACGTTCTACTTGGAGAAGATGGTCCTAAAGATATCAAGCACCCAAGTCATATAGAGTTTTGCTTGAAAAGCATTTGGCAAGTATAGCTGTCCCCAAATCCAGTGTTACTCTGGATACCTCCTTACTTGAGACTGGTGCTACATCATGCCTTGCTGTGCTCCCAGGACTTTTTTTTCTTTCTTGTAGATCATTTTGTGACATAAACATAAACAAAATGACTGTGAAAGATCCAGGCTTCAATGAATGCTACAAAATTATCTGACTAATAAAGATTACTCTATTTGAAAAGTTCTTCTCCCCTTTCCTGGCTTCTCTTTATCCAAGCCACTCAGTGAAAAATTTTTGAAAAATAGGATATTTTATCTTCCCAATAATTGTATAAAAAGAAGATAAAATAGAAAATACTGTAACTGGTTAGAGTTTTCAATGGAAGACCTCATGCTAAGCCTGAATGAATCCATCTCTCCCTAGGACAGTACTCTCTTCTATCCATTAATCCTTACAATAGTCTAAAATGGTTTTCAGAAGCTGAAATATGGAAAGTTCTTAAAAACTTTGCTGAATCTATATTACATGTCTATTACACTAGGCATATCAGGTAAAGGAGGCAATATAACAAAATGTCTTTGGTAAGCTTGAGAGAGATCCACCCTTATTGCTCCTGTTACTAGGATTAGTGTACTCTTGTACTCCCACAATTAAGCTTTGGCATGGACTTACCTTGACTGTGATGTGGTTCAGAGGAGAAGAAGAGTTGTAGTCGACAGCAAAGGAATATGCCTGCACTGCCCACTTGAAAAATACTCTGCTCTTGCTGCTTTTCTGCCCTTGCATGGACAAGCAAAGAATTGCTCTCATGCTCTCTTGGGAAGCTTTAAAAGCAAACAGAGAAAACAGGGGGGATAAAGGAGTTGGGCACGCCTATTCCAGTTCCACTACTCCTGGTGCTGTTATAAATATAACATTCTAGTGCCAGGAGATGAAGTCAAATTTCTGACGTCAACTGGATAGTCAGTCCGATGGCTGGGTGGGGAAGGAATCTTTGACTGGCTCACCTCTCAACAGACTCTACTCCCATTGATCCAGTCAGCCAATAATTTCTGCCACCTAGAGCTTGAGAAACCTAGAGGGTGTAGGACAAGGAGATCCCACAGCTTTATATAATACTTTTGCGTGTTATTTTTTGTGTACAAAAATGACTGTATGTAGTAGGTTCCTTCTTTCTCCATTGTTCTGTGTGGTCTTGGAGCAGAAGTTGGTCATACCTGAAATTTTTCAGGGATTTCCTGGTCTTGCTTTCATAAACAAGTATGAGAACAAGATTGGGTTCTTTCTTTTCTTCTTTGAATAGAGTGCTTGTTTAGCCCTCCAAATCTTCTAAGGAAGATTTCTTCTTAGGAAAGGAAATATACTGAGGATGTACTATACGTAACAGATGTTACTATGCTCTGCATTGGAATATTTTATTTATGATGAAAATCAAGAAAACTGTATATGCTGTTGTACATTCTGTGTCAATGTGGAAAGGGGATATGACCCCCAACACTGGCTGTGAAATTCATGTTTTCTTATTGTAACAAAAGCCGTCTCCTTATGTGAAATGTGGCCTTAGAATATAGGTCTTTACATTTGTAATTCTAGGTTTTTGACACAGACTCTGTCTGATTTGCAAAAGGCATCTTGTTATTGTTGGAGCACCTGTCTTTTCCCAGTTCTCACTCAGAGTACAAAATATAGGAGAACCAACAATTTTGGAATGGGATGGTTATTGGACCTTTGGGTTATTGGAATGGGCAATTTAGCTAAATTTTGACCAGATAGAGTTTAGTTATAGATTTATAATAATCTTTCCAAATGTGAGCACCTACTCAGTTATTCCAAAGAAAGATGCATGATCTAACTAAGCTGCTAAGTTGTTCTGAAAGGGTTGGGAGGATTGACAACAGTGGTGGGTTTCAATTTTTTTTACTACCGGTTCTGTGGGTGTGGCTTGGTGGGCATGGCATGGCTTGATGGGCGTGGCAGGGGAAGGATACTGTAAAATCTCCATTCCATCCCCAATCCAGGGGAAGTTTACTGCAAAATGCCCATTTCCTCCCGATCAGCTGGGACTTGGGAGGCAAGGCAGGGCAGGGCAGAAAATAGATGGGGGCGGGGCCAGTCAGAATTTTTACTACCGGTTCTCCGAACTACTCAAAATTTCTGCTACCGGTTCTCCAGAACTGGTCAGAACCTGCTGAAACACACCTCTGACTGACACAGTAAAAAAATGAATCCCCTGCCTGTAGGTTGTGATTTTTTGGTCATGATTGCTTTCCTTTGTGTGTTTATGGAATGGAAAGGAAAGTTTATTGTTGTTACTGGTGCTAGAGTGTCACTATGTTACCCTGGTATAGGGTCTCTTGCTTGAGCAGGGAGGCAGACTAGAAGACCTCTAAGATCCCTTCCAACTCTGATGATGATGAAATAGATGAGAGAAAAACAGATAGGTTGGATTTCCATGAAATTAAAGATAGGAGAAGCTTGGAATAGAACTGAATGAAGGTGATTTGATTTTGCTGAGTTAATTAGTACTCTTCCATTTACTTAAATGTAACATAGATTTAATTATGAAAGAAAGAGATAAAATGCATGTCATAAAATATGAATTGGTGTCATCTAATTTGTTACGCATATACCTGGAAATAGAGATTGATAGGTTGGTGATGCTTAAGAACCAGAAATGAGTCTGGAAAAAAAGACTGCACAGTGTTCCAAATGAACATGATCCATGGCACAAAGTTAGGTGACATAAATGGATGGGTGGGGAAAAAAAATGAGGTGGAACTGACTGATTGGATAAAGAATAAATAAAAAAGGTGACTACTAACTACCTGTTTAGAAAAAGATCCGCCTCTTTCAAATATATAGCTTAAGCATGTCAATGTATCCATGGTAAAAGAATGAATATAAATCTGGAAGCATGATCGATGAGATATTTTATGATGAAAAATTGAGAGAATTAATGAGAGATAGTAAGGTGATGAGATGTTCTGAATGTGGAGCAAGACATTTTTGGTATTGTTAAGAGCGGACCTTGGGGGGAAATTGATATGGAAGGAAAGAAATAAAAGAAAGTAGAATGAAAGTAGAATGCCCTGAAGAACGGAAACGATGAGGTTGAATGAACAAGTATTAAAAGATAAATTGATTTTCCAGTACAATGAATGGAAAGTGGATGCCAAAGAGAAGGCTGAAAAGGGCTGTATGGGGATAAAAGAGAAAATAATGCACATCAGAGAATGGTTGCTGCAAAAAAATGAACATAAGAGAAACAGGTTGTATAATATAAATATAGAAAGAAAAATATAGCTTCAAGGAATGTAATCAAAGAGAGAAATTAACAGTTAAGATTTAGAAAGGCAGAGAAAGTCCAGAGTGATTTTGATGAAAATTTAAAAACATTCTGGAAATGGGTGAAGACAGCCAAATAAGGAATTCCCAGCACAACAAATGGAATTAAAAACAAAAATGATTATATTATTTGGGCGAAACAAAAGTACGAGAATAATGGAAGGAGTATTTTAGAGAACTGTATAGAAATGATAATGATATTTGAAACCGTAGATCTGAAATGAATGTTATAAATGTTGGTACCCAAGAAAGGAAAAGGTAAAAGACTAAGAGCCTTGGTGGCACAGCAGACGAAAGTGCTATTAAGTAGCACCAGCTGCCTGCAATTACTGCAAATTCGAATCTCATCAGGCTCAAGGTTGATTCAGCCTTCCATCCTTTCAAGGTAGGTAAAATGAGGACCCAGTTTGTGACTTTGTATAAAAAAGAACACCGCTTGGGGGGGGGGGCAAAGCCCTACTAAGCAGGTATATACAAAAGTATGAAGGCTATTGCTTAACTCATTGTAAGCCGCCCTGAGTCTCCGGAGAGGGGTGGCATATAAATTGAATCAATAAATAAATAGATAAATAAATAAAAAGGACATTGTAAATGCTGTGAGGATTTAGAAAACTGGTAAAGTTGTGGGAGTAGATGCTATTAAAAATGTGACAATACAATCAGTTTATCGAGTGTCTGTGTGACTTAATGAGCATGAAAAAACTGTGTCTGTGTCAAAAATTGGAAGACTACTGTTATTATTTCTGTATACAAAGGGAAAGTAGCAAAAGTGAAAGCAAAATGAAAGAGGTCTTAGCACCGATGATGTTACCTAATTTGGGTAATGAAATGTCTGCAAGAAAGCAAGCTAGTGCAGAGCACATCAAGGACCCTCAAAGGGGTCTTAGCTTGTTAAATGTTCCTAGGCTAGTATTTGCCAGAGTTTGACTAAATAGAAGTGACCATGAGAAAAGTTTGGGAAGAAATTGGAGTGTTTTGCTGGGCATGCAAACCTAATTTTAGTTAGTTTTTTTTTTTTAATTTAATTTATATGCCGCCCTTCTCCAGAGACTCAGGGCGGCTTACAATATGCTAAGCAATAGCCTTCATCCTTTTGTATATTTATACAAAGTCAGCTTATTGCCCCCACAATCTGGGTCCTCATTTTACCTACCTTAGAAAGGATGGAAGGCTGAGTCAACCTTGAGCCTGGCGAGATTCGAACCTGCAGTAATTGCAGGCAGCTGGTCTTAATAACAGGGTGCTTTAGACCACTGTACTACCAAGGCTCCTTAGTTCTTATAGGTAATGGGAAATGTGTAAATATGAAGGTGTTTTACATGTGTTTGTGAGTTTGTATATATGTACGTAATAAACTGAATAGCTTTGAACTGTAGAATATTTTAGGTGACTATTAAGGCTGATTGGAAGTAAAGTCAGCATATTATCAGATGGAATGCTTAGTAAATGATGTAAAGAGAAATGGAATACAGTAGCCAGTCACCACTGTAAAAGAAGTTGAGGTGCTCTGCATTACTTTGTTTACCAAAAGTGAATAGCATGATGAATATGTGCATATTTATGAGGTGTCTCAAATTATCAGACTGAATCCATTCACTTACTTACTGAGAATAGCAACTAATATAATCCAGAATAATGACACATCCTGAATCATTAAAAAATAAATTTGCGCATTGACTTCTGTGATGATGTAAATTGAGAGGTGAGACTAAGAGAGAAAAGAGGCTTTATTTGATGAATTTGCAAAGAAAACACAGCTCAGCAATCACAGAAGGGGGTCCCTGAAGGGCTCAAGACTCCTCCTCTTCCTGAACAGAGGGAAGGGAACAGGCTGTAACTGCCACTTGCACACAGCTCGGTGGAGTATAAGTTGTGCAAAGCTAGTTTCAACCTACGTGGGGAGTGACTCTGTTCATCCCTCTGGAATGCATTCAACTAAAGTAAGGGTTTGGGGCCAATTGGCTGGAGACCAAATATGCCTCTTTCATTTCTGCTCCTAAGTTATTTATAAAGCATGCCTTAATGACATTAAGGAAACACCCTTTTTATTTCTTTTAGTAGGAATTTAGGGGGAAGAAGAAAACCAACTTTAGATTTCATAAAATCTTACGAACACTTGTGTTCTCTAAGCAGTTAGGAGTATCATTTTTTTCAAAGTGCCCTTTTTTCACCCTTCCCTTGGTTGACAGGAACTTGCAAGTCTTTTGATATTCCCGTCACCGCTTCTTTAACACATGTTTACATTGAGGAACCACTCCTTTCAGCAAACAAACACCAAATGAATCATTAAATCTTAAACTGAAGGATGGAGATAGAAACTGGAGGCAAGCTCTCCATGTTCCCCTCTGTTTTTAGAACATAGAATCATAGGGCTGGAAGAGACCTCAGAGGTCTTCTAGTCTAACCCCCTGCTCAAGGCAGGAGACCTTATACCACCCCAGTCAAATGTATGTCCAGTCTATTT